TCAAGGAGATCCTTCTGTATAGCAGAGTAGTGCGCCACTGTGCATAAGTACTTTTTTTTTTTTTTTGAGACAGGGAGGCATTCAAATCAATTTTTAGAAAAACCATACGACTACCTTGTTTGCTGAATCATCTACCACAGGGATGAACAACTTTGTTGTCCATTGCTCTGTCCCACCTTGTATCCACCACGATTTTGCTCTACAAAACTTTGAGAATCAGTCTTGTGGGCAACCCACTTCCGGGGTCCTTCCTGTCTCTCTTAGGCAGAGGCTCCTTCCCTCACTTCCCACTCCTAACCTTTGTTGTTTCCTAGAATTCCTTCTTCAGTTTTGGGAATCACGAACTCAGCATATTGGACATTTAGCAGGCACATCCACCTACCTCCAAGTGCCTCGAGGAGATCCTCGAGGCAGAGCTAGCAGGTTGGGATTTCCCCTGTATCACTTGGAGGTCCTGATTCATCCCTATATTATCTAGAAGAGAAATCCTTCAGTCAAATGGAAGTTTTGTTTGGTTTTGACTTTATCAAGGTATGAAACTGATGCACATTAAGTAGTCGGTGTATTGTGGTCGTTTTTCATTTTTCATCAGTGCACGTACAGCACATAATTCCTTGTGGAGAGTTGGTACACATATATCACACCTTAATTCCTTTTTTCATCTCCTTTCTCGTCTCTCCCTCCCTACTCCACCTTCTCTGATCCCCTGGCCTTTTCTGTTTTGTCCTGGCAGTGACAGAATACAAAACTCCCTCCTGGTGCTGGGTAGCAGCAGTGAGCCAGAGCGCCACCCGCTGTGCAGGCCAGCGGGCAAACAGTGAGGCAAACCCGCGGTGTGGGCCAGTGTGTGCCGCAGGAGCTCTCTGCAGGCTCAGGAGCCGTCACCCCAGTCAAGGTCTGAGCAGTTCTGGGCCAGCATGCACACAACGGCGGAGGCCACATTAGGTGCAAAAGCACACCAAATGCAAAACTTTTACCTTTCATTTTTTTTTCTTTTTTTAAAATTATTTTTAATTTATTGAAAATAGAAATTCAGTCTTCTAAGACTACCAACAGATTACCCATGGATCAGTGGAACGGCTACAAATGCCCACCTCCCTCACTAAACACTGTAGAAGCCTGTACCATTGGTACTGTCCAGAAGCCATGTGGAAGTGAATGGAGTACATGTGTGGCACATTTGTTCAAAGGGAAGTCACAAGTTTCATGCCCCTTGTCACAGTGACCCTAAATTCCTGTTGGGTGTGTTGTAAACAGAGAAGCCATTCTTCAGGCCACCTGCTCTGAGCACACCCACATTACCTTTCAATAAAAACTTGTTCAGTGGGGCCGGGGAGATGGCTCAGTGGAATAAGCGCTTCCCTGGCAAGCACAAGGGCCTGAGTTCAATCCCCGGTTCCGCCAAAAAAAAAAAAAAAAAAAAAAGTTGTTTAGGTCATTGAAAGCTGTTTCTGTTTCTCTTTTAAAACAAAAGATGGGGCTGGGGAGATAGCTCAGTAGAATAAGCACTCGTCTCAGTTTATGGTGGGTTTATCAGGACAGAGTTTCCTTTGAGGAGCTTCTATGCATAGCTTGCTTATCCATTTATCTGTCCCTGGACATCAGTCGGTTCCACCTTTTGCCTACTGTGAATATCGCTGCTATGAACACTGGCACACAGGTAGCCATCTGAGTGCCTCTTTTCCAGTCACTTGGGTATATATCTGCGAGTAGAACTGCCAGTTTATATGGTTAATATTATTTTATTATTTCTGTGAACCAGCCAGAGAGGTCATGACCTTTCACATCCCTGCCTACTGTGTTCAAGATACTAAGTTCCTTACATTCTTACCAATACCTGTCATTTTGCGTATTACCGATATCCTAGTGATAAAAGTTGTACCCCACTGTGACTGTTTTAAGTCAAGGTAAGACTCACATCACAAGCAACCATGAAAAGTAGCAATCTTTCACATTCCTCTAGCTTCAAAGCTTTCTGTCACCCCAGAATAGTGCTGTAAGGACTCACTCCATTCTCTCCTGACATCCCCCATAGCCACTGGCTGTCTCTGTTGATCTGTCTAATCTGAATCCTGCTCTCTCATTCAGCATATTTGTGTGCTTCATTCAAATTGCAACACATGTGTTTCACTTATGGCCACACAATACTGTAGGTGTAGTATCTGTACTTATCTTGCACTAAGCTACAGCCCCAGACCTTTTTATTTTATTTGGTACCAGGGATCAAACTCAGGACCTTGTGCTTGCCAGGCAGGTGCTTATGCTGCTGAGCTATCTCCTCAGCCCTCTCTTATTTTTAAGATAGGATCTTGCTCAATTGCCCAGGATGGGCTAAAATTTACAATCCTCTTGCCTCCGCCTGCCAGATTACTGAAATTACAGGCATACGCCACATCTGGTTGACTGATTTAAGTTGAACTGCTCCTTCATTGGTGGGATAAATTCCCTTGGAACTTAAGTGTGAAATTTTATTTTTTTATTTTTATTTTTTGTTTTTGGCAGAACCAGGGATTAAACTCAGGCCCTTGTACTTGCCAGGGAAGTGCTTATTTTACTGAGCCATCTCCCCATCCTAAAAATGACCTTTTTTTTTTTCCTGGTAGAACTGGAGATTGAACTCAGGCCCTTGTGCTAAAATTTAAAAAAAAAATGTACTGCTGGATGTATTTTGGTAGTAGTCTTCTGAGCACTTATGCACCTACATGCATAAGGAATACTGGTCTGTGGTTTTCTCCCCTTGTGGTAATTAAAATCTAATTAAAATGAAGAATGAACCAATTCTGTAACTTTGAACATGTCATAGTATTACTAGAAATATTATTAATATTATTAGAAATATTTTTAAAAATTAAAAAAATTTAAACATGAGATTATAAAAACCATAGTTATTTTCAATGACCTAAATTCTGGCCTATTTTTATGTCAGAGAATATCAAACACTTGGCATTGAACAACATGTCTGGGTAGGGTTCACAGTGGCCAGCTATTGAGTAGAATAATAATCTGGCCTCAAAATTCCTCAGGTCAAGGGTCCTGGGAAGGTAATGGGTGGTGGAACACAGGGAAGGGGGCTGAGTTTCCTTAACACACAGAAGGTCTTACTTATTTCTATGTTTCATTTTCCTGTTAGAGAGAAAAAAAATCTATTTTTAATTCTTTGAATCATGTATTTTTCTACATGATTTTTATAATTGTTTCTCAGACCTTTAGAAATATGTAAGTAAAAGCAAAAGTTCACTGTTCAGATATGTTTGTACAAAGATGTCTTAACACTAAGCAGCATCAAGTCCTCATCTTCACTCTCAGCTAGCCAGTGTGGAAAGGGGTAAAACAGGTAAATGAAGTTCCATCAAGTCACGAAGTGAGCCAGTAGAAAGGATCTGGGGACAGGTCTCTCTGCAACCCCCAGCCACCTCAAATCTCTGTTAGAATACAACCCAGTGATGGCGAGGAGGCCAGGGTGAAGCCCACAGTCGGCTGCAAAGCAGGGAACCCTGTGCTCACTGAGCTTTTCCCTTCACTGATCTTATATAGAATGTCACTCATGCCCTGCAATCCACCAGTGTGACAACCGAAACTGGGCAAGTAGGCAGGAAAGTGCTCCAGAAGGAGCTGTACCACTTAATCAGAGCACACTTACCCAGAAAAAGAAAACCAGCCATCTGGCATTCTTTGAGGTAGGTTCTTAGGCCTGAGTGGAGTTCTGGTGCCCTCTAGCCATTCTGCAGTCCTGTTCCAAGACCCAAATGACAGGGTAAAGTTTCACTGAACTTTCTTTCTTCTAGTTAACTGACCTAGACAGCAGCAGCTGCTTGTTCCTTTAGTTTCACTTAAAAAAAAAAAAAAAAAAACATGCCTAGTTTCCATGCAAAGAAAGCTGTGAGATACAACTGTCACAAGCGCCCACACTTCAGCATTGCCTTAGAGGAAGACTGGGAAGAAACAGTTGTCAGAGCTGTGAGCTCAGCCATCTCCTGGGCGCTTCCCCAAGCTCTGAGCTGGCAGGGAGACGGAACTGAGAGCACCACCTGTCTGCTGGGTCTTTCCTGCACCTAGTGAGCTGCTGCGGGCAGCCTGCAGGATCCAGGGCTTCCCCTGGCTTGGGCATGCCAGGGTCAGTGGTTCTGAAGCACTCTGGCTGATCTGGCTGTAGAAGGATGAGTGATAAAACAACACCAAGCTATCCCAAAGTTTAACAGAGTTGGCCTTAAAAGACTGCCAATATGCAACCATTCTGACTTTTGAAAATGGCCACTTCATATGGTTCAGCTTAAACTTTCAATAAGGGAAAGAAAGGCAAGAAACTAAAGTCCAAAGAATCTACTGCCTACCATACGTATATGTTCAGATCATTAATCTCCCAATTTCTTTTTAGTTTGTCTGTGTCTCTTTTATGGGCTAAACTGTGTTCCCAACTTCAAAAGGAAGAGAAAGTCTTTTTTTTTTTTTTGGAACCGGGGATTGAACTCAGGCCCTTGTGCTTGCCAGGCAAGCACTTATTCTACTGAGCTATCTCCCCAGCCCCAACTGAGCTATCTCCCCGGCCCCCTAATTTCTAATACTTCATGACGTGACCTTATTTGGAAACAGGGTCTTAATAGAGGTAATCAAGTTCAAGTGAGGTAACTCAGGACGGCTCTGCCAATAGGCTGGTGTCCTTATAAAAAGGAAAAATTAAGAGAGAGGAAGGCATGCACCGAGGGAAGTCGACGTGAAGGCAAACTGTGCGGCTTCTACAAGCCAAGGAATCTCTGAGGCCACCAGAGGCCAAGTGGGGAGGCTTGAAATATTTCCTTCCCTTGCACCTTCAGAAGAAGCGCGACCTTGTTAGTATCCTAACTGTGGACTTCCGGTCTCCAGAACTGTGAGGCAATGAGTTTTCGCTGGTTTAAATTGCATAGTATGAGATACCTTGTTACACACCTAGGAAAACAAGATGGGCTCCTTCCCGTGATGCCTAACTATACCACCGGTAAAACATAACAGCAGAGCCTATGTTAAAAAAAGGTACAGTTTAATCCCTGAAACTCTAGGCAAGAGATCTGACGTGTCCATTCTTACAGGAACCAGTTGTGTTTCCCATTCTGGCCAAAAAAGATTTGTTTGATCAGATACAACAAAGATGGCCTTGTAATTTACAATGTATGTATATATGTACACATGTGCACACCTACACACAACCCCACATATTTCTTCCTTGTTCGGTTTTCTAGCACTTCCAAGTTTGCAGTGCAAGTTTTAACACACATTTTTTTCTTCAGTCTGAGATGGGGCAGATGTCATGGTTGTGTAACTTTAAAGAGCCCATTCAAATCTGAGGAGCACCACACAGGTATCCTAAGGAGTTACAGAGAATCACTGATACTCTCATGGGGAGTATTTCCTGTTAAAAAAGTCAGAAGGTGGAAAGGGGGCTCCGGGAGAGGTGCTCAGAAGGCAGTTCCAGAAGGTCAGTGTCAGCAGGCTTCCCCGGAGCACTGTCAGTGTGAGCATGCAGGATTTGGGACACCTCTCTTCTGGAGAAGGGAAAGCCTCAAAACACGAGGTAGAATTCACCAGAAGCTCTTCTAAGTCAGTTTTTTATTAGGATCCAGTGTAATAAATAAGCCTAAATGAAAAGAAAGAATAATTATAAGTTAGTTGACTTCAATCTGAGAAAACTAATAGACACATACAAAGGCATTTAGATTCATTTTCATACCCTCACTCTGTCTGCTAACTCTGAGTTTTCAGCTAAACTGAGAGTCAACTTTTGGGTGTCACAATCCAAAAGCATCACCTCCCCCAAGATAACCAGGTCCTCTACCACTTGGCCATTTCATGGTTCATTACCACTTTCATTAGAGATAGCCAGGGAAATGAAAAGAAGTAAAATTACGAGCCATCTGTTACCTTTATGATAGGGAAAGGTTTAGTCAGATAGGAATTACAGTGCAGCCTGGAATGGAGTTATAAATTGACTGGATTCATATTATTCACTATCTTTTGCCTACTCTTTTATCCATCATTCCTGTAAACAGCTGATACTTAGGTGAAAAATGAATTTCTTACAAGATACAAAAAGCATTAAACATAAAGAGCAAAAGAGTAAGTGTGGTGACATTAAAAAAAAAAGATAGCTTAAAGCAAAAAGAAAGTAATTTACACACTGGAAAGAGATATGCCCCTTACATAGGAGATATATATGTATGTGTTGGATATATATATATCCAACAAAAGGATTAGTATAACATGAAATACAAAAAGAATGCTTATAAATTAGTAATAGAATGAAAAGAACAAAAAGCTGAAAAAGCAAACAAATTTCACAGAATGGAAAAAAATATAATCAGTAAACATGATGAGATACTCAACTAATTTCAATCAGGAAAATGCAAATCAGGTACTGAGATACTATTTTATTTTTTTTAATTTATTTTATTTTATTGAGAAACAAGTATCAATGAGACAGTTTCAAAGCTGATTAATAGGACAGTTTCAATAATTAATATACTGTACACTGTTATCTTCTTAGTGGTTATCCAATGTACAAGAAGCTGATAGGCTATCTTGTCCAAACACTATTAGTACAAATCTTTCTTCTTAATGGGTGATCTTTTTTTTTTTTTGTGAGCCTGGGGATTGAACTCAGGAACCTGCGCTTGCCAGGCAAGCGCTTATTCTACTGAGCTATGTCCCCAGCCCCCTGAGATACTATTTTAAAACCATTTAATTGGCAAAGATCAAGAAGCCTGACTTTTACCAATTGTTACAGAAGACAGGGATCAGAAGAATCTCTTATATGGCTGGCGGGAGTGTAATTTGGTACAACCTTAGGAAACAACTCGGTGTTGTTTTCTAAGCTGAATGTGCACATACTCCACAACTGGCAATTCTGTTACCCAGGTATACACGCCAGTGACGTCCAGCCTTTTAGAGGTGAGTGCCTGAACTGTACTTAATTATTGCAAAGTGCCAACACTGCAATTAAACCAGAATACCAAGGTTTTAGTTTAGAAAAAAACGACTAGTGCATTCATGTTTTTGCCTTTAAGATACCACTTGTGCCATAGGTTTGCCACCTGGTATACGGCAAGCTCTTGCCATGCACTCTCCCAGGAGACATGAACCTGGAAAATGGTTAGAGCAGCCACTTCGCGACAGCCAGAGACCCATCGGAAGAGTTCAGCTCCTCATGGTGTAGTCGTGCAGGGAGCATCACGCAGCAGCAAAAATGAGCAAACTACACAGCCAACGGGATGAACCATACGACATGGAGCTAAGTGAAAAAAAAATTAACCAAGCACAGAAAATCACATACAATATGTTTTCTACAAAGTTCAAAACCAACTGAACAACACATTCCTCAGATATACATTATTCTTTTTTTTAAACAGATAATGTTTTAATTTTTTTTTTGATCAGTTTTTGGATTCATGATATTTATTTATTCAGTTAGGGTTTTATTTTTTATTTTTTTATTTTTTGGCGGAATCGGGGATTGAACTCAGGCCCTTGCGCTTGCCAGGGAAGCGCTTATTCCACTGAGCCATCTCCCCGGCCCCTAGTTAGGGTTTTAGTTTAGAAAAAAACTAAAGCCCTCTGTAGTTGTGTGATTGGCAAAAGAAAAAAGGGCATATGTCATGCTGGAAATTATATCAACCTTACATTTAGTAATTATTTGGTAGCAAGGAACTAAAGTAGCCTGGATGAGGGCATCTTCTCTTTGCCCCCTGTATTACTGTTTCATTTATTTATTCATTTTTTTAATGTATTTGGTACAGGGTCTCACTACACAGCTCTTACTCATAGTGATCCTCCTGTTTTGAAGGATTACAGGTGTGTGCCACCAGACTCACTCTTGGTGACTGCTCAGTGCACCCGAGGGCAAGGCCAGCACGGTATATGGTGCCAGCGATGGAACCCCAGTCCCTGCACTTCCTGAGTGCTAGGACTCAGGTGTGTGCCACTAGGCCAGCTGATTGTTGTGAGAGAGAAAGGAGGGGGGAGAGAAGCGAAGCGAAGAGAAGCAAAATGAAGTGAAACAAAGCGAAGCTGGGGAGATGGCTAAGTGAAATAAGTACTTCCCTGGCAAGTGCAAGGGTGTGAGTTCGATTGGAGAGGCAGGAGAGGCAGGACCCAACCCAACCCCCAAAGAGAGTGGCAGCTCCTTACTTGTTGCCTCTGTGTACAGCGTCTCCTCATCGACACTTTGAACATTACAGGAAACAAAAACTTTCCTTCCTTCAACTTTTTCAAGTTGGCTATTTATCACAACAACAGAACAAAGAGGAATAGGCCTGCAGAAGCGGAGAAAAATGAAAAACAATAATTTTTCAAAAGTCATATAATACTGGGGCTGGTGAGATGGCTCAGTGGTCTAAAGCACCTACTTAGAACAAGCTTAGCAAAGCACAGGGACCGCGGTTCAATCCCCCAGCACCACATGCCAGCCAGCCCCGCCCCCTGGTGGGCTGAGCTGGCCACACACACACACACACACACACACAGTAAAATAAAATAAACGAGATACAATTTAAAAAAAAAAAGTCATATAATACTGAAAGATGACCAAACGCATGCACGCACGCATGCACACGTGACAAGGGTGGAAACCCAGGTACTTGCATCAGTGAGCACAGGTCCCCCTCCCTCCAGGCCGCAGGACAGATGGCTGGAAGTTCCAGGCTGCCCTGCTAGGCTGGGCTCAAAGAGCTACAGAAATTCCAGCTCAGTGAGTGATGGCAGGGACTGCTTGCTGGAGACCCAGATCAAAATCGGAAGGAAGCTGAAGTCCTATCAAGAAGGGGAAACAGGGCCTTGGGATGGTCTTCCAGCTGGGTCCGCATTCTCTGGCACAACCAAAACTTCTAAGCAACTCCTTTAGAGCAAGCCACTGGGAAGACACCTAATAACAAGGTGTTGGCTTACTGTGCTAAGCCAGTGCTTTCCAGTAGAACTTTCTGTAAGGATAAAAGTGGTCCATGTCTGAGCTGTCCAGCGCAGTATTCCACTGAGCACTTAAAATGTGGCTAGCATGAATTAGAAATTCAATCTTTAATCATTTTAATTTCTGTATTTAAAAAATATTTTTAGAATTTCTATTCTTTCATTAGAGGGTCTTGCTAGGTAGTTTGTACTCATAGTAATCCTCCTGTCTCAGCCTCCCAGCACTGGGATTACAGGTGTGAGCCACCACACCCAGTTTTAGTGCCTGGCATGGCACGCAGTAACTGGGATGGAACTTGGGACCTTGCACTTGCCAAGCAGGTGCTTAGACTGCGGAGCTATCTCCCCAGCCAATTTTTTTTTTTTAATTTTTTTTTTTTAATATTTATTTATTTTTATTTATTACATTTATTTATTGTGTGTGTGTGGCCAGCTCAGCCCACCAGGGGGCGGGTCTGGCTGGCATGTGGTGCTGGGGATCGAACCTCGGTCCCTGTGCTTTGCCAAGCTTGCTTCAAGTAGGTGCTTTAGACCACTGAGCCATCTCTCCAGCCCTCCCCAGCCAATTTTGACTAATTTCTATTTACATAGCTGCCTGAGTTCAATCCCTGGTTCTACCAAAAAAAAAGAAAGAAAGAAAGGAAGGAAGGAACCAGCTCAGACATGGACCACTTTTATCCTTACAAAGAAAGAAAGAAATCCTCTATTTACATATCTGCATGTGACTAGTAGCTATAGTCAGCCTGGGAATCCTGGAGATATATAGGAACACAGTGAGAGAGGGATCCTAAAGGTGAGATGTCAGCTGCTGCAGACGTAAACTAGGGCACAGAAATGTGTTTTCTGCTTCTACAGCACCACCATGTGGAACAGAGGAACTAAGCCAGGGAGAAAGGAAGTTATCACATTAATTATACCCCTGTGGCAATTAAAAAGTTGAGGTTTGTTTTGTTTTGTTTTTATGTACTACTGGGGATCGGACTGAGAACTTTGTGCTTGCCAGGCAGGTACTTATGTTGTTATCTCCCCAGGCCGAGATTATTATGAATAACTTTGTATCAATACATTTCAAAACAGAGGTCATGGAAAACATTTTTAAGAATATTATTAAAATTACAATAAAGGGGCCAGCCAGATAGCTCAGTGGAATAAAGCACCTGCTTAAGCAGACACAGAGGTCAGAGGTTCGATCCCCTGGCCTGCCCTGTGGGCCTTGCCCTTGGGGCACACTGAATTGAGACAGGATTGAGACTGGGCGAGGTGGCACGCGCCTGTAATCCTAGCACTTGGGAAGGTGAAAACAGGAGGGTCACTACAAGTCTGATCTGTGCAGTAAGACCCTGTAGAGAGGCCGGGGAAATGGCTCAGAGAAATAAGCGCTTCCCTGGCAAGCACGAAGACCTGAGTTAATCCCCAGTTCCGCCAGGGGAAAAAAAAAAAAAAAGACCCTGTATACACACACACACACACACACACACACACACACACACACACACACTAAATAAAGGATTAGAAAGGCTGACTAAGGAAGACAGTGAGGTCCCAATAGGATAGAGAAGCTACTCAGGAAGGGGGCAAGTCTCTGAATCATTTCATGGTGTAAGTCCTCACTGACCTGGATAACACAGGACTGTATGTAAACAAAAACCATCTCCTGGCTTAAATTAGCAAAATGCTGAAAGCCCTCAGGATTAAGACATCTTTACTTATATATAGACTCCTTTCATGTTATATATATATGCTTAGCAATTTATTTGCTGTTTCTTCTTTCATCCTCTTGCCTATTGGGATTATTTTCTTTCTCTTTTTGAAGTACAACCTTTAGCAGTTCCCGAGTACTGTCCTGTTGTTCTATAAACTTTCTCCAGTTTTATTTCAATGCAAACACTTTGGTATGTTATTATCTTTTAGCTTCTACAGCTGTTACTGGCAGGGGTGTATTGCTAGTGTTACACTGAGATGACCGCCTTAGGTGTCCTCTCTTTTGTCTTTGCTTTTTTTTTGGGGGGGGGGGCAGAACTGGGGATTGAACTCAGGCCCTTACGCTTGCCAGGAGAGCGCTTATTCCACTGAGCCATCTCCCCAGCCCTTGTCTCTGCTTTTAAGATCTCTTTACATGCGATATTCTCCATTTTTCTATAATATTTTCCCACATAGCTTTATATTTATGAATCCTGGCTGGGGAGATGGCTCAGTAGTATATTTATGAATCCTGCTTTATTTTACTTTTGTCTTTTTGAGACAGGGTCTTACTATCCAGTTCAGGCTGGCCTTGAGCTCACTTTGTAGTGACCCAAGCTGGTCTCAAACTCACAATGATCCTCTTGCCTCAGCCTCCTGAGTGCTGGGACTACAGTCATGTGTCACCATGACTGGCTTTACTGCTTGACATTTGTTATGCTTTCTTTATCTGTGGACTTACGATTTTCTTTAGTTCTAGAATATGTTCACCCATTGGGTCTTCAAACATTAAGCCTCTTCCATTCTATTCTTCTAGGATTCTGATTAAAGAATATCTCTGTTTGTCTGTCTATCTTATTTTTTTGGAGGAGTACCAGGAATTGAACTGATGACCTCATACTTGCCAGGCAGGTGCTGTACCACTGAGCTACATCGCAGGCCCCTAAAGAATATTATAATACTAGTGTTCTCAAACAAAACTGTGCAGTGATAGACAGACTCCGCTTTACGTTTCCATGAAGGGGCATGTAACTGCACTGTGAGTTAGGAGAGCCCTTGCTTGTGAGCGGCATCTGTAGACAAGTACATTCTACTCGCTAAAAACTTGTTTCTATCGTGGAAGATTTTATAAGAGATGAAGTCATTTTATTGTAGGTTATTTTATACTAAGAAGGCGGACCTTTGGCCCTTCTACACCATTGCAGAGATCAAAGTCTGGGGAAGGGGTGTGAAGTAGGATAGATGAAATAGGTAGAAAGGACATGAGGAAAACCACAATTTTAAAAATGAAAGCTGAAACTTTAGGATATGAGCCCTGTTTAAAATTTTTTCTTTCTTTTCTTGCAGAATAAGCTCAGGCAATAATTCCCTTCCACCTACAAATGGCTCTCTTTTACCTGTGAATAGACCACCTTTTACCTGTAAAAAGCCTTTCCCCTATGAAACAGACCATTATATTTTTGTGTGTGGACCCTTCTCTCAACCGCCAAACCAACCAAGAGTACAGTCTGACAAATTCTACAGATTTCCACTGCCCAAACTACAACTATTCCCAGCCCGAAACTAAAGCCTTCCTCTCTCCCGAAGGCCTGGATTCTTATATCTTTGAGTGTGTATTTCGAATTTTTGTCTAATAAATCCCTTCAGGCCAGGGAGATAGCTCAGTAGAATAAGCTCTTGCTTGGCAAGCGCAGGATCCTGAGTTCAATCCCCGGTACCACAAAAACAAACAAACAAAAACTAGATCTAATAAATCCCTTCATGTCTCTTAAAAAAGATTATAGATTTGTCCTCCATAATTTAAGTGCTTTTAAATATTTTTCATTTTTTCTTTTGGTACTAAAATCAGGGTAATTTCTTTTTTCTTCCCTTCCTCCTTTCCTTCCAAGCCTAGGTCTATAAATAATCTAAAAGCTCCATTTAACATATTAAATTGCTAGCTCTAAGGACATTAGTGGTGACCCTTAGAATATCCCTGAAGAAAAGTATTATCTCTTATTCACAGATGAGGAAACAGGCCCAGAGGTGATAAGGAACTCGCCAATGTTCTGTGTTAACTTGGTAGCTCATGTGGGATTCAAATCCACCTCAGCCTGACTGAAAGTTCTGCTTCCCCCCACCTTTTTTTAAAGACAGGGTCTCCCTATGCAGCTCAGGCTGGCCTTGAGCTCACTTTGTAGCCCAGGCTGGTCTTGAACTTGCAAGGATCCTCCTGCCTCAGCCTCCTGAGTGCTAGGATTACAGGGGTGTGCTCCCCACCCCGTGGCTTTCTGCTTCCCAGTTTGCACCTGGGCTTAGTGGAGGTGGGTGTGCTGATGCACATACAGGACATATTCCAATTACCAGGCTCTCAGCAATGGCGCTGGTGACCAATATAGTGCCTTCACCACGCCATCTCCACCACCATCAGCAGCACACAGATCTGGTAGATAAGTGCTTAAAGAAATCTCAGTGGAAGGTAGCACTATCTTGTAGAGAGAAGAGGTTTTCTTGTACCTGCTTTACCATACACAGTAGTGACTGCGCTTTTTAATGATGCTGCACTACAGTGTTTCCTTTCCACATGATGATTAAGCAGCTAATAAAAAAAATAGTGCCAGATACTACAATAGTAACAGAACTTTGCTGTTTGCTCTTTTGTTTCTTCTTTTTTTTTTATTGGAGCATGCTGGATGTCTATAACTTCATACAGATGACTCAGAACCTGGAAATGCTGTTGCTGCTGCTGACGTACAGCATACTGCTATTACGGGTCATTTAATATAAATATAAATATATTGAAATTTTGGAAACTTTAACTGTGCTGTCAACTTATCCCAGTTCCTGCGTTGAGTCAGCACTACATGGAAATTAACAGCCATATTGGTCTAGAAGCAAACTTAATCTTTTCGCCACTTGTACAAGGGTAACGTACCATATTAAACATGTAAGGTCTTATCATGTGGTTTGATTACAGAAACTAATACAGTATTCTCTAAAAAAAAGAAAAAGATGAGCAATTTAAATTTTAAAAAACAAGAAAATAGGATCACTGTGAGTCCAAGCTGCGTAGTGAGATCATATGCCAAATACGTAAATAAAAAACAAGCAAACAAAAACCCAGAAACCTAACAAGTGCCAAGATACTGCCAGTCCTTTTTTATTTGAGACAGGGGCTCACTAAATTCCCCAAAGTGGGGTAGGCCCCGACCTTCAGGCTTCAACCTCCTAAGCACCTGGGATTACGGGCATGTCCACTGTGCTAGGCAGAGTATTTTACTTTTTTTGTTTTGTTTTTTCCATACTGGGGATGGAACACAGGACCTGGAGCATGTCTGGTGCAGGTGATACAGGAATATGAAATTCCCATCCTGGCCTGGATGAGTGAGTTCTCTAAAACCGAAGAATGAATTTTAGGAACAAACGGAGGTTGAGAGTAAAACTTTATTGGAGGCCGGGGAGATGGCTTAGTAGGCTAAGTGCTTGACTGGCAAACGCAAGGATCTGAGTTCAATCCCCGGTTCTGCCAAAAAAAACCCCCCAAAAAACAAAACACTTTATTGGAAAGGAAAGCTTCTGTCGGAGAGGGACAGAAGGGGGGCACGAGTGGGTTGCCCAGGAAGCTGTCTCTTTAGGTTATTTTTATAGGACAAAACCATGTGGGGCTAAGGTAGAGACAAAGGGGTCTCGCTTAGGCAGATACAGGGTGGGAAAAAACTATGGTCAACCCATGGGATTACAAGCACCATTGCCCAGGTAAAACTGATTAGGCCTAGGACCAAATGAGGTAGCGAGTCACGTGGCAAACAGGCATGAATGTAAATCGGGACCTTATCTGGTGGCCTTCAGTGATGATTCTTCCCAACTAATGAGCAATCCTGGATGCCAGCTTTAGGGAGGTCAGCATTTGTTTGATCTTTACGTCTGGCTCACACCAGGAGCCTCTCCTCAGTAAGGTGTCTGGTCTGTGTCATCTCCTTCGAGGGCCTGACCCTGTCTAACTACCTACAATATGTCTATCTAACTCAGGCTGCCTGCAACATGGGGAGCACGCAGGGGAAGCCACGCTGCTCTACCCGCTTCAGCTTGGGCAGCATCCCAGGGCCAGTCCTCCTCCCACTGTTCTAAGAGGGAGAAAATAAAGTAACAAGGTCGGCGTGGTGGTGCACACATAATCTCAGCACCTAGGAGGCCGAGGGGGACCAGCCTGGGCTACAAAGTGAGTTCAAGGCCAGCCTAAATTGCATAGTGAGACCTTGTCTCAAAAAGCAAAAAGTTAAATAAAATAAAATATCTGGGGATATAGATCAGCAGCATAAACTTGCCTGGCAAGTGTAAGGTCTGGTGTTCAATCCCTGGCACCGAAAATAATAAATAAATAACTAGATAAATAAAATAACGGGGCTGGTGAGATGGCTCAGTGTTCTAAAGCACCTACTTAGAACAAGCTTAGCAAAGCACAGGGATCGCGGTTCAATCCCCCAGCACCACATGCCAGCCTGCCCCGCCCCCTGGTGGGCTGAGCTGGCCACACACACACACACACACACACACACAAATAAATAAAGAGAACTGTTATTAAATAAAATAACAATGTGCTAGCCCTGCCCCTGGGGCGCGCTGAGATGGTGACTGAAACTGGGCAAGGTGGCGCGCACCTGTAATCCCAGTACTTGGGAGGCTGAAAACAGGAGAATCACTACGAGTCCGATCTATGCAGTGAGACCCTGAACACCCTATAGACCATGTATCAAATACATTAAAATAAAATAAAATAACAAGAAACTCCAGGAAATTTCTAAATTCCAGGCCAGAACACATGAATGTTAGATCTCCTGGCCTGATCTTCAGTTATATTTTCTCCATGTGGACCTTTTGTTTTATTTAATTTTTTGAGACAGGGCTTCACTATGCAGTTCAGGCTGGACTTGAACTCACTTTGCATCCCAAGCTGACCTCAAACTCTAGCGATCCTCTTGCCTTACCCCTGTGAGTGCTGGGACCACAGGTGTGCACCACCATGCCTGGCCCCACCTGAACCTCTTTACAGGTTCATAAACATGGATTTCATCTCATACTTGTAATTTAATCAGAGTGAATTTTTTATTTTTATCTTTTTAATGTATTTGGCTGTTACAGGGTCTCACTATGCAGCTCAGACTCACAGTGATCCTCCAATCAGAGTGAATTCTGAGGCAGACATGCCCACTGAAAGCCCCTGGGCTGTCTCAAACCTCATCAAGCATCCCTGTCCCAGTAAGAGACTCAGCAAGAATCACCAGGGCTGGGGTGCGCTACTTTTAAAACTCCCCCAAACCTGGTTTGCTTGCGTGCTGTGCTTTTTACTCTGTGCTCTTAGCACCACTTTGCTTTTGTGCCTGTTCTGAGCAGATCTTTTGGTGACCTTCAATAAATGTAGCTGCCTTACTGTACCACTGCCCGTGCCCTGAAATTCTTTGCTCAGCGATACGAGAGCATAGACTCCATCTGTGGCTCTATCCCACAGTATCACTGCATCGGATCCCTACTATGTGATTTCTGTTTTGTATCCACGAGAACTCATATTTACATCTTGCTTTCTCTCCCAGCAAGCAGCACTGAACCCCTTCTATCCAGACTTCCTACAAGGGGGGTAGTTATAATAGGAAAAACAAGGTCACCCCATAGCTTTTGAGTTTCTAAACAGATTCAGAGAAAAAGTTTTGGGCTTCACCAGCATAATTTTGTCAGGTAATTTCTTCAGTTCTACATTTCCGTTCACTTTCAGTTGTGTATAAGTAGTGCTTTAACCTCTTCATTACCATGTTTGTGTTTTAAAAATAATTTATAAAGTATTTATTACATTCCATGATGAATCTGCATGGTATTTTTTTTACATATTCTTACTGCTCTTTAGTTTTGTGATTTCATCCTTTATTTCTTTAGACATACCATACTTTGTTCTTTTCTACTGTGTATCTGAGAAACATCAGGATATTTAAAGTCTCTGAGGGTCTAAATCTGTCATTTATTATTTCTACTAATACTCTTAGTAGTTTATGGGCGTTTGTACTTGGTAAAAGAACTACTGCTTTTCAAGGAGAAATGTCCTCAGTGTTTCTTGTCTGCCATGTTGCACGCAGAAGTCCAAGAGCAGCTTACCAGTTGTTATGGTTTGTGTATAGTTGTCCCCTCAAAGCCTCATGTAGTCTAGGGGAGGCTTCTGGAGCTTGTGATTGATTGCTGTGGCTGTGAATGCTGCAACTGCCCTGGGGCAGGTAATTTGCATTTCAGTGTAAGGAGGGAAGAGAAGCTAGCTGCTGGAGCTGCTGCTACTCCCTTGTGCTCTTTTTTTTTTTCTTCCATAATTTTATTGAAAAACAAATAGCAATGAAACAGTTTTAAACCAAATGGGTAGGACAGTTTCAATAATTAATACATTGCATACATTCTTCCTAGTGGTTATTTGCTGTACAAGATGTGGACATGATATCCTATTCACAAAAACTATTAGAACAAATCTCTCTGTTCATTAGGAGAATGTAACTATATATCTATCCTAACTATTTTGAATACACAGATACAAAATAGACATTCATCTGTATCCCCTTTTTTGTTTAGTTCTGTCATTTGAATATTATAGGTGTGTTAACTGAGCAAAATATTCTAAAAGAGTCCAGTAGTCCTTAACAGTATTGGGTCTTCCGCTTTACTGGCAATGTCAGAAATTGTTGACCTGAGTCCCCTACAGCTCAATATAACACGATGGCTTTAATTCTTATACTTCGTTTTTATACTTTTCCGCTGGATGGTTAAAACCAAGAGAAAGCAAGACCTATGCAACAAGAGTTGTAGCTTTTGGGTCTGATAAGGTCAGTGAAATCCCCTCAGGATTTATCCTGAGATCCTGTACCTCAGATTGTAGATCCTTTGTCAATGTCAGCCATGTGGATGAGTCACGGCCATTGCTTGGCCAATGTGCTCTCTGTAAAAGCCTGAGAGAATATTTTCTCTCCATGTGACTCTCCTTAGGCATACTCATCGATGGCTTTCCTCTTTGGCCCCATAATCTCCTTGATCAGAAAATCTGGGACACTACTGAGTTACATGATGTTACAGTACAAGTTCTCATATGTCCTGAATCTTAATTGACCTTGGAAGGCTAGGGCCAAAATGTTCCCTTGTGCTGTTGCTCTTTGCTGCCTGCTGCCATGAAAGGTTGCCCTCTGCTATGTGCTGCTCTGCCTTGGAGCCTGCTGAGTACGGACTGAACCCTCCTATAACTGTGAGCTAAATAAACCTTTCCTTCCTTCATTTTGGGTGTCGGGTATTTGTCCCAGCAATGAGAGAAGAGTAACTAAGACACCAGTCAACACACCACGACTGCATTTCAGGCACAGTGAGACAGCAAAGCTCTCAGGGGCTGTTCACCACTGCTTAGGAGCTGCTCTGTCTATTTTATATGCTAGGGACAAGGAATGAAGTATGACATCTGGATTGAGAGCTGGAAATTATTTGGATTAGAGAGCTGGAAATTATTTTATATGGTTAAAGAATAAATAAGGGGGCTGGTGAGATGGCTCAGTGGTCTCAAGCACCTACTTAGAACAAGCTAAGCAAAGCACAGGGACCACGGTTCAATCCCCCAGCACCACATGCCAGCCAGACCCGCCCCCTGGTGGGCTGAGCTGCCCCCCCCACATAAATAAATAAATAATTTTTAAAAAAAAGAATAAATAAGGTAGGTTAAAATGATGCTCAATTAACACTATAAATTAAATTGTAATCACCTAACTTTTTTTTTCTTCCAATACTAGGGACTGAACTCGGGGCCTTCAAAATGAGTGAGCTACATCTCTAGCTATTTTTTTTGTTTGTTTGTTTGTTTGTTTGTTTTTCGTACCTGGGGATTGAACTCAGTCCCTTGCGCTTGCCAGGGAAGCGCTTATCTTCTGAGCCATCTCCCCAGCCCCTTTATAATTTTTTTTTTTTTTTTCCAGAACTGTGGTTTGAACTCAGGCCCTCGCTTATTCTACTGAGCCATTTCTCGGCCCCCTCTAGCACTTTTTTGAGATAGGGTTTCACTAAGTTTCTCAGGCTGGGGACAAACTTGGCCATCCTCCTCCCTCAGCCTCCCAGAGTGCTGGGATTATAGGCCAGAACCACGATACCTGGCTCTAAAATAATTTTACAAAATTCAATTAAAGGTTTTTTTTTTTTTTTTTTTTTCTTTTTTTGGCAGAACTGGGGATGGAACTCAGGCCCTTGCGCTTACCAGGGAAGCGCTTATTCCACTAAGCCAT